TTATTTTTTTTTTTTTTTTTTTTAAATCTTGGTAGTTTCACAAATATATAGTTAAATGATCATTTATTTCAGAGGCAAGATAGGAATTTGTTCTGTTAATAGAAGTATCTTCTTGTTACTTCATAGGTAACTATGTTTAAGAGAAATGGTCTTCTCTGAAAAGGAATGAGGTTTTGCATTTTCTCTGTATTGATAGTCAAAGTTTTTTGCATTGTGTATAAAAGTATAAAGTAATTTGCTTTTTAGTAAGGAATGAGCTGGAACCACCGAACCCATTGCCCTGGGGTTTGTTACTGCTCAGCCAGGAACATTTTTTCCAGAGGGGAGAGTTCTGCAAAACTAAGCAGCCTATCTTCTGTTGGATAATAACCGGCAGGAACATGTGTGAAGGAACAGGCTAGTAGTGTGATTATCTGTTGCTAGCTGTCCAGAAAAACATTTCATTTGTAACCTAAATATTTGCTGTACTTTGTTAGATTAGCCTGTATTTCTTTTATCTAGTAGAAATGACTGTAAAATGTGTGTAGCAAGTCAGTGTTACCTGCCTACTGCAAAATATTTTGAATTATTTCTTCAGGATGTAATCGCAGCTTTTTACTGAATTCTAGACAGTAACATCTGATTTTTCTTTGACTGAAAAATGATGATTACAGCATATAGTATGTTTGGTAATACTAACATCAGCCTTTAATATAAAGTAGTTCAACTCCAGTCCAACTAACAATTGAGAAGACTTCTTAGCTAAATATCTAAATAGGATTTGTGCCTTATCTGAAGAAAAGAAGGACAACATTCTAACTTTTTCTCACCCTAGAAGCTTGTCATTAAGTTAAACACAGAATCAGTTTCTACAGATTAAAAAAAAAAAAAAGGTGATTGTTTAAGTAGATGTTCTTACAAAACTTTGTGGTTCTTTGAACTAATGAACTCTTACCTCTACGCTCTGGTCACAAAGTGAACCTCATGTAAATGTTGTTCGTCTACACCACACCACTGAGATATCCAAAGAAAATGACTGTAGGGCAGCTCAGGTGTTGATAGGAATCGAGATACAGCTGAAAAGCCAAAATTTAGACTGAACAAGGGCTAAATACCACTGAGAAGATTCACTCCCTTCAGTATGGGAATCTACAAGAGACCATGAAGCAGCGGTAGTACGTATTTTAGGGAATACGCAAATGCCAGGACTCTATGCTGTTAGGTAGCTAAATTGTACTTAAGCCTGCTTTGCCACAGCTTTCAACCATGAAGCTACTAGATTGAACCTGGCTTTGACACAGCTACAGAAGTATCTTCTGGTTGTTTTTTAGATATATGGTCTGTTTGAGTCTCTGTTCAAAGTTCCAGCAGTTCACCTAATGCCTGTGGATACCGTGCGTTAGGAAACAGACTGTCCTTCCATCGCTTAGCGAATAGTGTGTGGGGTAGTAGTAAGAAATTAATGAACGATCTCAGATGACTGTAGATACATTTTCATCAGTTTGTTGTAAAAACAGGTAAGTAATTTAGTGTCACAGTCACATGACAGTTTTCATGAAAACTGTAAAACTTAAGAGTTCATTATCATTTATCTTTGTAAAAACTCACAATTTGTGTGAATCTTTGACCTTTCTTTTCATTGCAGGTTTCAAGATGGTAGATATTTTAGAGGGGACAGATACAACTGGCAAGGTGACTATAGATCTAATCAGAGGCCAGAAAGAGGTTGGGGTAATAACTACCAGCAGCACAGACAAGGACAATCGTACTCCTCCCACTATGGACAATATGGCTACAACTCCTACAACCCAGGGCCTCGTTACCATCCCTACTGATGATACTTGTGGTTTGAAAGTCCAGTAATGCTATGTAACAGATTCAGTTAGACTTCAGTTTTCTTATTTTTCCACAGTTTTATAGATAACTGAAGAATCAGTATTACAGTCCATTGCTGTTTATCTGTAGTGTGAATTGAAAAAGGGAATACCTTTTATGAATAATAAAAGCGTATTATACGGAGTTTGTTTAGAGTCCGTAGATCTTAGATTAGATTTCTATCTCATTCTTTTGTCTGAATACATACTAGTACGCTTCTTTTCTTCACTGAGATTTCTCTCCGTTACATTTTAGAAAACACAACAGTCGGGGAAAATAGCTGTGGTTTGTGTGCAGCCTGTAGCAGTGGCACATTGCCTTGAGATAGTTCTTTTTGAAAGTGACATACTGTGTCTTTCTCTGGAGAGAATTTCTTAATTTGGCTTTCGATAGCGAGAAAAGCTCAGTTTGGTTTGAATTTCAGATGCCTTAAAACTGAGAAGAGAGATGCTATTACAAAAATATTTTACGGGGTCAGCATAGTGTCTGTTGACTCAATGGCTTCAGTTTATTTGCAGTATTCCTCTTAAAACATGGTCTAAAAGTTGGAATAAAAATTAAGTAGTTTAAATATGTATCTTCTTATTTTAGTAGTTCGGCGATATACAAGTTTTACCTGAGAAGCGATACCAGACTTAGATTAATTTGTATCATCTTAAAATAAATTTGGTATGTGCATAAAAAATTTTGGAATTCCCATTTCAGTAAAGCTGTAACATTTTGATGATAATTGTAATTAGTTTGTATGAAATACTTTGTGCATGTTATAGAAGAAAGGAACCATAATCAGTACTGTTCTGTACTTTTTTGCATGTGAAAATAGCATGAGCAGTGAGGACTGTTATTCAGTTCCTAGAATTTAAGTTCTGTGGGTTTTTTAAGTATTCAGACAATAAAAGTATAGTTCACGTGTAAGGACGTTTCTGAATATTTTTGAAACATTCAGAATTGCAACGCTCATCTAGGCCGAGAGCTGTACAAGCAGCAGTACTAACAGGTAAGCGTTAGTACTGGACAGCTGTTGGTTTAGGTTAGAACGGCCCACTCAGCTACAATCAAGAGGATGAGACACATTGTGATTAATTAGAAGTCTGGCGTGTTAATCCGCTATCTTACATTCTACCATAAGAGGGTCAAAGTTCTCTATTTCACCATTTACGTGATAAGCTAATCCGTATCAGGAAGGCAGCGCATTTCTTTGTACTTGGCACTTTCTTCAGCTGCTGCACGGAAACACAGAACCATCCACGCTGACTGTTGTAAGGGTCATGACGTGATGTGATAAGGAGCGCAAATTAGTGCATCTTGATTTAAGAACAAAGAATAAATAAAGGCGGCAAAAGCAGAGTCTCCCAGCTCGTAAGATGCCTTTAAGAGCTAAAGGGTATGTTTACTGTTGATCTTAGAAACACATGCTGTATGCATGTCACTTTTACATAGTCTGCGATACAAAAGCTGTGACACGAGCGTCTCCACCTACCTGCTAAGTATTTCTGTTTTCTGCTTTTCATACAATATTGTTAACTCTGATACAGTTTTTAATAGCCTACTCCCTGAAGTATTTGCCTGGGATTCAGTTGTTTAACCTTAGAAATCTCTTAGCGAGAGGTTTGTTTTTCCCTAAGGAGTTCTAGTGGATGAAATGCACCCTTTTAAACCCTCAGTAACATGGCGGAGCTGTTACACGGGGGGATGTAAGGTCGTGCAAAGTTCCTGTCCGTGCGCTGTGGAGAGCCTGCAGGTTGGTACGGTGGAATTCCCTTTTAATGCAGAACCACAAGCGAAGTGCCAGATATCCCAGACTCTGCAGACTTCTGCAAAGAGCCTGACGCTGCCAGCTATGCCGCGGAAGTCAGGCTGTGCCAGGATGTTCTTCCTTACCATCTGGAGTAGCGTCTCGGGTTGAAATAAAACCTGGCAAAAGGAACGGATTCCGTCTCATCTGCTGCTTTTCCTCAAGCCCAATAACTATTTTATTTTTAGTGTCTTTCAGCTAGTGAATAAAGACTCTACAACGTTGTGACCAAACGGTAGAAGCAGATAGATTAGGATGGCCTAAGTGGAAGTTACGACTTAGAATCACACATTTCATGATCTCGGCTCTCTTATTCTTAGTTTCTTGACTGTGAGGCCGGGAGACACAGGCCAGTGCAGCATCCCGGTTCCTGCCTTGACTCCATCTGCCTCGCCGTTAGAGCTCTCAATTCCGCTTTAAGGACCTGTATGATTTACAAAACTTCTCCTTGGAACAATTATGGCAAGAATCTCATTTCTGGGGGGAGAATACATTTCTAAATAAATGCATGCCTTGCACTGGACAGAAAGGTAAATAGAATTCAATATATATTGCCTCCAGCAGTTTCCACTTAGACGAGTTAGTATTTATGCTGAAGTTCAGTTTATTATTTCTGTCAAGCTAAATAAAACCAGTAAGTATTGCCCGCAGTTACGGTTTGTGCATTACAGTGTGTTACAGACGACAAAACAAGCTGGGTAACTTTGAAGTTGTGAATGTTAAACACTACAGAAATTGTTTGCTTTAACTGTGCTGGAGATTGCAGCGTAAACATCAAAATTCAGCATCTGGAATCTGACTTTAAGAGATCTCTTCCATCTGACGTTTGTTCAGACATCGTTATTACGATGAATAAAAGGAAAGATAAGTGTTATGTATTAAAAAATGACTGCCATGTTACCAAGAGTTTGAACGCCCCAGAAGTTCTGAATACGGCTCCTGCAGCAGTTCGAAATCCCTTCCTGAACACATACAGCAATTTTGCACGGACTGTTAATCGATACTGAAGAATTACCACGCTAAATTACAGGTGCTGTGGCAAACAACTGAGAAAACTCAGTAGCTTTTATACAATTTCTTAACTAGCATTTGAAAAAATGCTAAAGGCTTTCACATCACCGCTAAGCCACTAGATACTTGAAGGCAAAAGAAAGTGCATGGAAAAAAAATCCTGGTGTGATTTGAGAGATACAATTTTACAAGTGTTCCCTGCTATTCGACCTCCCCTTTATCCTAGCTCCGCAGCTGGGAATAGAAACGCGCAGATGTGCTTTCAAAGGTTAGTTGGAAGCCGAACTACTTTCAAGAGGCTCTCCAGTAGAGATTTCAGACAGGGAAGACAAGTGTCACTTCTGATAGATACAGATATATATAATCAACATTCAACTTCTAGAACAAAAAAAATATTTAAACTCCTAGTGTTTAAATATATTTGAATATATTGCAGCAGTTACATATTTGAATATATTTAAACTCATGCTATTAATTTGCTAATAAATATTCTGCTTAACCAAGAAACACGTTCATGTGTGCTTCTTATACCGAGATGTTGGAAGGAAAATTCTTTTCCTGTCAAGTTTAAGCTAAGGTTTTGCCTGCCACCACCTCTATTCCTTAGGAAAAAAAGAATCTCTGAATTACACAACTCTGGGCAAGTTTTGTTAGCTGATCCAACTTGTGCAGTCACACCTTCTCTCGCTCGGACAAGCAAGAGGGAGTAGGAACACGGAGCAAGAAGGAAGGGAAAACAGGACTGCTCCTTGCAGTGGGTACTGACCGCCTCAGGAGCAATTTAACGAAACTGCACCTCCCTTTGCCTTTCATTTGCCCACCAGGAAAAATCACTATAAATCTGTCCCCTTGTCCCTGTATGTTAGAAGAGAGCTACACTATAAATCTTGTCCCTGTATGTTAGAAGAGAGCTATATAATCCTGCCTCCTGCCTACACGATGCTGATATTCTAATGGCCAGAAGCTAAGCAAGATCATAGGGCAGGGCAGGTTTCCCTGAAAACACCTAGGAAATAGGCAGCCTGGTTCGAGACAGGCGGCGGTAAATACTGCACCTCCCTTTGCCTTTCATTTGCCCACCAGGAAAAATCACTATAAATCTGTCCCCTTGTCCCTGTATGTTAGAAGAGAGCTATATAATCCTGCCTAAATCATGCACGATGCTGATATTCTAATGGCCAGAAGCTAAGCAAGATCATAGGGCAGGGCAGGTTTCCCTGAAAACACCTAGGAAATAGGCAGCCTGGTTCGAGACAGGCGGCGGTAAATCCTAGAGACCAAACCAGAGTCCGGTGGCTCCAGCACTGCCAGGAGAGTAGATGGCAACCGCGCTACGGTGGTGCGCAATGACCTTGCCTCTCAAGAGGATTATTTTTTCATTAGGCCCCGCAGGCTGGAATTTATTTTCGTGTTTACCATGGCCTATATTTTTCTTCAGTAAAGCACGGACTGCACTTAGTGGTTGTCAGTCCTCATTTGCTCACGTGAAACAGCGGTGCCAAAGTGTTATTTCTATACAGCTCACCCCCTGACTTTCTAAGTACTCTGTCCTGTTAAAAGGCAAATTATTACAAGAGATGGTAAAAGTTGGTCATAACTATGTTCTCCTCTAAGTCTAAGAAACACACAACAGGATAAATCATACCGTCATCCCCAACGGTTACCTTTTTTGTTATTTGTGACTAGCAGGAATACAAATGAATGTTGCCTTTTTCCAAACACAGAGATGCTTCTTTTTCAAATAACACTTCAGCAGCTGGATGACTTTTTTCCACAAGTATGGGCTGCCTTTTTTTTTTTCCCTCCATATTGTGTAATTCAAACCTTGCTTCGCCAGTAAAAGATGTATCAATAACAAGCATCAAAGCTGCTCCTGCTCATTGTTTGAAGAAAAAACTCATGTGTTCAAAAAGATGAGTTAAAATTAAGAAAACAACTTAGTTATTCGTTACAGAACTACAAAAATAACCAAGGCCCAACCTTATCCATGGAAAAAAAATAATCTTCAAGGATTCAAGCAGCATCTTCAAACTGAAACATGTTACACGTTAAAAGAATGATTAAGATACTAAGCTCTTTCAAAGCTCCTGCTCAGTGTGAGGAAAGACAATTTGGTATTTATATACCCACATAAATTAAATACTTAAGATTATAATTAGTACTGTGGAGATAAAGGTTAAAAAACCAAGCATACCGTAAGATGTTTCGCATAGCTTTTGGCCACCATGTTCCAAGTTTAGCATGATCCGAACTGATCAGAAAGCTGGTGCTTTGTCCAAACTTCATGTCTGAAATTTGTTTCTGAAGAAGCGCTTGAAACAATACAATTTCTGTTGCAAATGTGCTCAAGAAAAATAAAGTAACAGTAATAGCTGTCAAGTGCAACCAGCCCTAAATGATTACATATTCTTTTTACAAAATAAAAATTATTTTTTCCATAGCAAAGGCCTGGTTTTTAAGTTTTACCCTTCTGTAGTCATCAAGTCATCTTGATTTATGAATGCCACTGAGACCTAACCCAAAGTACGTTTAAGAATACTGCTTCACTGATTTTAATGGTAAGAGCATTTAAATACAGCACGCGAAACCTCCGAAGTTTAAATCAGTTTAGTGCAAGAGCTCCGTGTGGACACACGTTCTCCTCAGATCAAGCTCACCTTACTCATTTATAAGCCACACGCTTGAAGCGCCTGCTCTGAAGTGAACTGATGGAGCACCAAGCTTGGGGTACACACACCCTCCTCTGAACCCCAGCTACAGCTAAAGTGCTACAAGAACGTAAAGGAGCTTTACCTTAAATTGCCAACATGGGCTAATCCTATTTCCCCAACCCTGCAGCTCAGAGGATACTTCCATCAGCAGAGCTACTTGTTTTTGTTGTTCTAAGATAAGATGGGAGTGGGAGGGTACGTCGTACAGCCCAGGCAACGACGGGAAGGAGCACGGCTGAGCCAAAGGAACAATTGTTTCACGGCCGCTTCCTCATGTATCCTGAACCCTGCAGGGGAAAATAAGTTTCGAGATTTGATTATTGGTTATCAAGTGACTTTACTGCCATGCCACAGCCTGGGGGTGGAGGGGAAGAGAAATTCCTTCCTCCTCCACAGAC